TTTTTTTTTTTTTTGAAAGAACATGCCTTTTTTTTGTTTGGGGGGGGGTTGGGGGTTGGGGACGCTTCTCACCTGTCCCCTTGTGTTTCTCTCCGCCTCCTGGGGCGACAGTGCCGTGGGGGGGCACAGCTCCTTCACGGCCGCTCGCAGGCGGTAGGCGTCGATAAAAGGGAGCACGTTGACTGCCTCCCATGGGTTGCGCTTCCCGTTCATGTCGATCTACAGGGCGTTCACAACGAGCAAAAAGGCGTTATCTTACACGTTGGGGGGGGGGGGGGGGGGGGGCGGGGCTATTCGTACTCCCGCGTGGCGACCTTGCACCCTCATATCTGCCAAACGCCAGACCTAATCAATCGGGGGCTCCATCAACGATCCTAAGGGTGGGGTGGGGGGGGGGGCGCTCTCTTCTTCACGCGCGGCTGCCCCCGAATGGCGGGCAGTATTTACATGAAAAACACGGGGGCTGGAGTGCGTCGTAAGACTCACTTCAGGAAGCCACAACATGCAAAGACGGACTTGAGGAGAAACCACCTTCAACATCACATCCCTCTCTACAAGCCCTTTCTTTTCACCCAACCAAAGAAACGTGTGCAAGTACTCCTTCACAATCACCATTTGGTAACCAACACGACCCTGGGCACTCAAGAATAACAACAACTGCCGTGGCATCAAGCAGCACGGGCAAGTGTTAAAAAAGTTATCAGAAGATCGTTGATACGATTTGATAGAGGCAACACGCCCAGTCGAAGATACTTCCAATGGTCGCACAAGCCTCAACGCTTGCTGCTGATGAGCACCTAGCCTTGAAGGCTGTGAAGTTGAGTACTTTGCTTGGGTGCAGCCTGACAGCGTCGCGGCCTGCTTCCTACTGACGTTGGACGTGGGCCAGCCAGACGCTACCAAATGGGACATGTTCCCTGGACAACTTCCCTGCGGACATGAAAATCAAGCTCAGCGGCTATGCAACGCATCTGCAAAGCTCATCCACGGCCAAGGAAACTACCGGCCCGGTCGTTGGTGTTAGAACGCACAGCCGTGTTCGCGCCATCAACACGACATCGCCGCCACATCGTCAACAGCTAAGAAACGCTCTGCGGGAGACTACGCCCTCTTGGATATAGATATCCGCCTGGATAGCATAAGCTAACCAACAGCAATGGCCACGTCCCGCCGCCGTCCTGTCCCTCCCTCACCTACCCGCACTCTTACACCCCAAGAGCTACAGTACGTTTACCTCACCGTAAACACTGCCCGCCTTAAACCCGAAACAGACTCCAGTTTGCGAGGCACACGTCCGTCCGTCAATGGAGAAAGGAAATGGCTACAGAGACCGCTTCCTCCTCTCCGATGGCCAAAAGGACGTGTGCCTCGCGCACCGAAGTCTGATTATTCGTGTGTACGGTGGGCAGTGGATACGGCGGGGTCAAGGTAACTCTCTTCACTGCGGTGGAGTGGGAGCGTGCGGGTAGGCGAGGTATGGACAGAGGGAGGGATAGGATGGCGGCGGGACTTGCATCAATGCACCTTGTGTTCTTGGTTGTGTTCTTGGTTGTGTTCTTGGTCATGTCATATTTTTCAGGTTCGGGAAAACAAATGCTTGAAAACAGCCCAACATCACTACGAGTATTGCACGTCCGTTGATCATGGTTGGATGTGTTTTCGTTATTGCGGGGGGTTTTCACGAAATTCCAATTGTGGGGACTCCAAATAGGTTGCAATGTCCATGGTTGTTGTATGTTGGGTTTTCTTCGTTGGCTGTTGATCAATCTTCGTTTTTGGGGACGCAATCTCGCGACAAAGTGAATTGAGCACAGCAAGACCGTAGATTGCGCCATCTCCACCTGTCCCGGCTCGAGCACGATGTCAACGAGGGCCCCTGGCTTGCCGTCCCCGATCATCTCGTCCAGCGAGAGCACGTCGGCTCCTTTCCCCCGGGCCATCGGGTCGGCCTTGGGCTTGGCCTGCGGCGGCGGGGGCGGGAACACCCTCCATCGCTTCCGTCCCTGTGGCAGCACATATACATCGAGACAGAGACAGCGACAAAGACAGACAGACAGACAGACAGACAGACAGAGAGCGAGATAGTGTGTACATGATTTTTCAAAGACAACGCGTTGTGCAAGAATTGAGGTCAGTGTTGTCGCCAGCCGTCTCTGTCTTTGTTATGATTGCCGACGTCGCCATCTTGGCGAAGGCGGTACTTCCTCTCCGTGAAACGAACGCCCAGCCAACGGAGCTGCAACAAGCATATCAGCACGGATGTACGCGAGGTGTGATGTCCTCCCCTGGTGTCTTGCCCCGGCCAACCTAATCCCGCCCCCCACGCCAAATGCCCGACTGTCTCCTTGGTTCTTGTCACAGCACCTGCGTCTGCATTACGAACACGTCCTGCTTGTCGGTGTGAGGAGGTGCCGACGTTTTCTGCCCCGCCGCGGTGATGTACAGGTTGAGGCACACCGGGATGTCCAGCGCCTCCATCACGTCCAGGCAGATGCCCGCGAGCGGCCGGATGTACGCTCCCGCGCTGTTCACCACCACCTTTAGCACGCCAACCCCGCAAAAAGCATGCGAGCAACCCCGGGATCGTGGGCGTCGCGTGGTGGAAGAAGAAAATGTGGGGGGGGTGAACAGCAAGACATTGGAACGTTACAGAGGGTTCGCGCCGATGAGTGCCTGGGGTTTTCGTAGAATATTCTTTGGAAAGCAGTGGGAGACCCAAACGGACATGCAGCATCATGCGATAGAAATCCGCTTTGGCGCCCTCGGTCAGCATCTCAACGAGTATTCATAGTGTAACTCGTATGAAAACGCCATGGGATAGAGGCCCAAAAGAGCAGCCAGGGAAAACAAGAGTTGTACCGTAGGTACGCAAGACACCATACTCTCTGGACTGATTCTCAAAGCCCGACTACTCTACAGCGCAACCAGTGACGGCGCCGAAAATAGCGGCTTTGGAACCGCCTCCAAGGCGAGCTTCCCGAAAACGGACATATCGTCGTGGGTAGTGATCAAGATTTGGAAGTCGGTCCAGGGGGGGTTCGTACTAATTTTGCATGCGCGTAGCTGCTAGGCCTTCGACCAGGGGCGGGGGGATATCAATCCACCTTCGCTACAAGCAGCGACAACAACACCAACAACTGCTGCTGTTGCTGTTGTTGCTGCCGCCGCTGCCACCCGAAAAGAGCGGAGTAAATCGACGCAACAAAACTCACAGTCCCGCTCTTCTCTTTCAACGCGTTCTTGACGTCGTCGAACCTCAGCTTGGCGTCTTCGAAGCTCTTCCCCCTCGGGGTCGACACCGGCGCCATCCTCCACCCCGTAGATCCCTGACTGAACGTCCCTCTCCCGGCCTGTTTTCGATCAACCACGGCGAACACAAGCTCAAAGGCACCATCATCTGGTCCCATGCCCCTCACTCAATGGGCGGAAAGACTCATGCAACCAATAGCTTCTGGGTGACAAGCTCGGTATATCAGCCTGGAGTGGACACTGACACGACATGTTACTACTCGATGAGTAATCCCATGGGCTTGAAAGTTATGGGTTGGTTACCCACCTGCAGAACGCGGATACGAGACGATTCTGGGCCCCTAGCAGCAGGGAGGTGCAAGAATCGCAGGCGTGGCCCGTATAGGTGTGGTGTTAAAAGCCAAAAGAGGCGACACGAAACGCGAAGCTTGTGCTGCCACTCTTAAGGTCATGGTTTGAGAACGCGCAGTGCAGGCACCCGCACCGTGCACACGTTCGGTGGAGTCGTGGCGGCAAGTACATACATCGTGGCAGAGATTGATACGCAATGACGGAGCCTTTTTCTCCTCACCCCACCCGCCGGCATGTCCACTCAACCCACGGCATATCTGGTTTGGCACAGCAGCATGTTGCCGAGCTTCTGAATCATCCTTGTGAAACGTAGCTTGCGCCGACGAAAGCCCGGACCCGGCATGGCGCGCCGTCTCGGCATGTGAGTACGTCAATGGTCTACCGACTACGAGATATATGTATGTATACGCATACAGGATGCAACCCTCCGAACACTCATGTGGAAACCCCCACCTCGACGAAGTCTGAGTCGACTGCCTGCTGGACGTCGTCCAGCGTGTACTGGCCGGCCAGGCTGGGGAGGCTCGCGTCGCAGAAGAAGGGCTTCTTCTGCCACAGCTGTCTCCGTTCGCACGTTGATTGGTTAGTTGCCCAACAGACACGCGAGTTTTGCAAGAGAGGGGGGGGAGTGTGTACTTAATAGTCGTGCATGCCGTAGTCGTTAGACCATTGACCTCGCATCCCTACAAAGCCGGGACGGAGCACGCCGGGTTCTCACCGGACCAGACTCTCACATCACCAAGCGCGAAGCGCCGTGAGGTATTCGGCGAGTCGCATGAAGGGTGCGCTGCATCCTGCTAAGGGTGTTCG